TGAACTAATTATTATAATATTAAATCAATATTCTTATTTCACAAAAACATAATCATAAAATAAAAATTATTATTACATTATTATATGAATGATTATTCTAATATATGAATTAACTAATTCTATTTTATTAAAAAATAATCATAAAATAAAAAATATTGATTATATTATAATATGAATTATCATTACAATTTTCAAACGTTATTATAAAGTCAAATCAAATTATTGATTTGAATTTTAAATCAAATCATAATTAATCATATCAGATCAGACCAAATCAGATGAGATCAGATCGATTCAGATCAGATTCAATCAGATCAGACCAGATCAGATCATATCCAATCAGATCAGATCCAATCAGATCAGACTAGATCAGATCATATCTGAACTATAAAAAATCAGATCAGAAAAAATAATTTGGATGGAACGAAGCCTATTTAGTGCAAATTTTAGGGAATTAAAAAGTTTAAGTCTTACATTGGAGAATCAGATCAGATCAGACATTATTAAGTCCTATTTAGGGATTTAAAAAGTTTAAATCTTACATTTGGGAATGAGTTATGTTTTAGTCCTATTTAGTGGTGACAAGACTATAAAATTTATATATTTAAAAACTACAAGTGGTGACAAAACTATATTATTTTATCAAATACCTAATGAAAATAGGTAAAGAAAGTAATTAAAATTTGACCGGATAAAAAGTGAGTGAGAAAAACATTTTAGGACAGAGTGAGTAAAATTTATTTTTAGTGCCTAATAATGCGTGAGTTGAGTTTGAGTACTTTTTTATTTTGTTTTGTTTTTTTTTCTTTTTTGCGGTGACGTGGTGTGAATAACATTCAAAAATACGTTAAAAACACGATATAAATAGTTAAACAAGTGACAAAAAAAGTGTCAACCACAACCATAATTACATAAGTTATTACATGAATTTTTTAAAGTTCCTAGGAAAATAACGGAGGTAATTCCAATTTAAATCCGTCAACCACGCCAATGGTTTCAACTTTCAAATGGTAAATTATATGGTGCAGCCGGATGTATTGTACATCATGATAAACTTGTAATTAAAAAATGTTACAGAATGAATACTATGTTATTTTAGAGTGAACACTACGTTATTTGAGAATGAACACTAAATCCAGCAAGCTTGAAAGGAACATTACGTTGTTTCAGAATAAACATTATATTGTTCGTAAATGAATATTATAATTGTAATGAACAAATGTATGAAAAATGAACACTACGTTGTTTCAGAATGAATATTATGTTTAACGTACGTAAAAAAAAATTAATGTTTCACGTGTGAGGCTTGAAAAGACTACGCCCTGCACGTGACAGGGTGTGTATAGAACATAAAAAATCTTTCCTGGGCCACAACCACAAGTTTTAGATTTTGGTTGAATCAGTTCCTTGACAGCTTCTAACATTTAACATACTATACATAGTATTAATGTATTACTTATTTTTTATTTTTATTTCAATTTCTTAGGATTTTAATAAGTAAACAATATTTGTTATTTCATGTTTTTATTTTCTTTTTTTTCCAACAGGAGGAAGCAATATATTGATACTTTGTATAATGTCTAAAATGTTAGAGTTCACCACCGTGTATATTTTTAGTTTTAGTTCTTATCGGTTTGAGGTTAGTTTTAATTGATTATCTTTTTATTTTATCAATTTTGTATGATTTTAGTTATTTTTCTCATCTTCATTGTTTTTTTCTTCAATTTTTTTAATGTAAGACTAATCTTTAAAAAATAGAAAATGAAATGAAGGTAGAAACTCATTATAAAAAATTAAGAGAAATTTTCAAAAAATTAACAATAAAATAAAAACAAAAGTTCATCAAGAATAATCCCAACTTTCTTTTTATTGCACAATACGAGCCGCCATTGACTAGTCGCTAGTAGCTTAACAACAACCTAAAAATTTTAAATTTATGTAAAATTAGGATTATTATGCATCATAGTGAAATATGAGATTACAACAACAACAACTCAGTTGAATCCCACTACCGTAGGGTCTGGGGAGGGTGTGTGTACGCAGACCTTGCCCCTACTCGGAAGTAGGGAAGCTGTTTCCAAGAGACCCCCTGCTCAACCTGCACAAAAAATATGGTAGCTTAGATAACACATTATAACACGGATAACACGGATACCATGGATAAAGCACCAAGTACAATGAAATGAAAGTCCTGCAAGCAATAGCAAAAGATTCCAACCAAACACAACACACTACAAAAAACCTTTGCAGCACCGAGCTCCTATCCAGCTACTCTAATCCTAGTTCTCCAAAGGTTTCTATCTAAAGCCAAATCCTCAGTCAGGGTGAGAAGTCCTAAATCCTGCCTAATCACCTCCTTCCAATTCTTCCTAGGTCTACCCCTTCCCCTACTTCCCCCGATAACCGTAATCCTCTCGCATCTCCGTACAGTGGCGGCAGCATCCCACCGTCTCACATGACCAAACCATCTCAACCTCGCTTCCCGCAACTTATATTCCACTAGTGGCTAATGACTAATGACGCACAAAGAGCCAATGCTGCTGCCTTCGCTGGGGCTCGAACCTGAGTGAACTTCCCCATGAATCCTGGGGAGTGGGCTTGCTACCACTCAAACCAGGGGAGAAGTTCGAAAATATGAGATTATTTTTTAAAAAATGAGTAAAGAACGGATAACATCAACCCACATTTTAGAAGCTAGAATAAACGCTCATTATCTACGTTCAATTGTAAAATTTATTTTTAGTGCCTAATAATGCGTGCGTTGAGTTGGAGTACTTTTTTATTTTATTTTGTTTTTTTCTTTTTTGCAGTGACGTGGTGTGAATAACATTCAAAAATACGTTAAAAACACGATATAAATAGTTAAACAAGTGACAAAAAAAGTGTCAACCCCAACCATAATTACATAAGTTATTACATGAATTTTTTAAAGTTCCTAGGACAATAACGGAGGTAATTCCCATTTAAATCCGTCAACCACGCCAATGGTTTCAACTTTCAAATGGTAAATTATATGATGCAGTCGGATGTATTGTACATCATGGGAAAAATGTAATTAAAAAATGGTACAAAACGAATACTATGTTATTTTAGAGTGAACACTACGTTATTTAAGAATGAACACTGTGCCCAGCAAGCTTGAAATGAACACTACGTTGTTTCAGAATAAACATTATATTGTTCGTAAGTGAATATTATAATTGTAATGAATAAATGTCTGAAAAATAAACACTATATTATTTCAGAATGAATACTATGTATAACATATGTTGATTCGAAATGATCATTTGCTGGGTGTCATACCCCACTCTAAGTACACCTAGATGTATGATATAGGCTCTCGTTTCAAATTGCTCTTTGGAATTTACTCTTGAAATTCAAAAGAATTAAAATCTCTTTACCATAAAATATCATGTAAAATGCCGAATGACTGTTTATGAAACCCGGTGGAGATAGAGATCGAAGGGCAAGGGTTTACGACCCAAAAAAATATAGAATGGATATATTGACGAGAACGAACCGGGATTTGGAACCGAACTAATCTTCTATACCGGTCTGGGGTTAGATGGGTAGTCTCAATTAGTCAATCAATTTTGGTGAAAGATTTCATGTATAGAAACGGTGGTATTTTTCAAAGACTAGGACTAGTGTTGTATCATCTTTGAAATATAATTTTTATAGAACTATATTTACATTTAAAAAATTAATTTTTTATGCAAATGCACACCCTATTAATATATAAAAATAGTACTTTGCATGATTTCTTATAAATTTACAAATAAGCGATAACAAAATAAAATATCTCCCACAAATTCATTCAAATTAAAATTTAGTTTTTTGTTGTTTCCATCCAACTTCTATTTTAGATAGAAATTAATCATTTTGCATTAATAATTATTATAAATCAACAACGTATAGAAATCATAGAAATTAAATAATTAGAAGTACGATTTTTTATTTTTTTAAAAAAGAAGAAAAAATAAAATTTTAACTCAATTTCATGTCAATTTCAATCGAATTCACATTAACTACACACAATTTCAACTCAACATCACCTAAAATGCTCTCAATTTCACAAAACAACATTCAATTTTACCCAATCCCATGTCATTTACATCAAATTCAAATAATTTACACAATTTCCGGCAGATAATTGTAATGTGAACACACACACTGTGATCTTTCCTTAATTCCTTTTCTGCGCGGATGATAGGTTACAGTGGTTCCAAAAAGTTCATATTTTCTACTCCATCCGTTTGGAAAAACCCTTCCCATTTGATTTGGGGGCAAAAATAAGAAAATGTTAAATTATAGTTGATTTTTAATTTTGCCCCTGATGTGATGGGTAAAAGTAAGATGTGATGGATAGATTATTAGAGAAAAAGTATGATGTGATAGGTAGGGTATGAAAAAGTAAGGGTAAAAGTGGTTTTTTAATAGAAAGGGGAAGTGTTTTGTTGGAAGTGGAAAAAATGAAAGAGGAAGTGTTTTTTAGAACGGAGGAATAATGATCATATTAGTCTTGACAAATCTAGTTATACTCAATATCGATCTTTTTTAAGGGCTAAACCGCTCTAATCGACCTGGTCTTTTTAGTTTTCTTGGGGGAATGAGGCCCATATAGGTTAAGTGCTATAATTTAATTTACCCTAATATTTATGGATACTTAATGCCACACAAAGGAGTTGAAACCAATTGAGAAAAATGAAAAGTACTTTAAATTTTTTCGTTCTTGTCGTGTTCTAGGGGAAAACAATAAACCAAACTACACTTATTATATCTCTCTTGAGAGTAAGAAAGTAAACAATAAATTTAATTGCATTGACAACTTCATCTTCCCTAATGTCCCCCCACACTTTTGTCATTTCCTTACTCATCACTTCCCATAAATGCACGTACTCCTCTCCCCTTCACTTGCAATGCATCTCATTCCCTTATTTACTTTATTTCATTCTTCTATTCTATTAAGCTAGCTACCAAACACTACATAAAATAGAATCTACACACAAGAATATAAAGTGGCTTCATCTTCATGATCTCCATTGGCCATTCAAGTGTAAAGTCCTTTTCACACAATGGTTATCTATCTATATATATGGCGAATTTATATTTGTTGAATATTTATTGTAGTGACATTTTCTTAAATTTTAAAAAGATCTCAGCAACGCTTTTAAAAATTTCACTACATTACATGATAATCTGTGTAAAAAAAAATACAGGCTTGTTCCTTTTGGTCACTCATCATCTATTAGGCTTAAAGATGGTCACTTTTGTGGGCTTTTTTTCTAGTAATGATAATAGGTTGAATTTAGATTGGATAAAACCTCAACATGCTCTATACATATATATATGACGAGACTACGTATGTTAGTTACGTTGTGTGTTAGACTGGTAGGTGCAACAATTTCCTCATAAAATTTAAAAAGATCCAAGGAGCGCTTAAACAAATTTAATTACTACACTTCATTATTGTATGTGTAAAATTTAAAGGTTAGTTCCTTTTGGTCATCACTCATCTATTGGGCTAATAGATGGTGAGTTTTTTGTAGTCTTTCTCTATGAATTATGATGAATGGGTTGGATTCGGATTGGGCAAAATATTACTGTGATCTATACCTATATATATCTGTTTTGTGTTAGGTGTAGCTATTTTATTCTTAAATTTCAAAGAGAGCGGTGGAGCATTTTTTTTCATATGTAAAATTTAAAAGGTTTGTTCCATGTAGCAACTCATCTCTTAGGCTAAAAGTAAGATGGTTAGTTTGTGGTCTTTTTCTAAGAATTAAAATGAGTAGGACTTGAATGAGGAGTACCACCATGATCTAGCTATTTGATCTTAATCTCATCCATCATTCATCACCTGATCTATATGTCATCCGCACGATAACCAAGTGCAAACTATAGATGAAATTAATCGAAAAAAATGTACTCCGTATTACGAAGTATTTTTATATATAGAAATTTCACCTTAGTTCCATGACATTGAGATTCAATGTCATAGGATGACCCGAGGTCCATTCGATACTCCGTTCGAAAATTAATAGTTCCTACCCTCGATAAACCCCACTACCCCGGCCCGGCCTGAACCCACCCCCACACCCCCGCGAATTGCACCCCACAAGATTTAGTTGACTTTGCAGTCAAATTTTAACTTCTAAGCCAACTAAATCTTGTGGGTTGCAGTTGACAGGGGTGTAGGGCGGATTCGGGGCGGGGTAGGAGTCATCAATTTTTTGAACGGAGCGCCGTACGTGCCCTAATTGTTTGTGCATATTTATAAAATATGGAGTGGTAGATGTTAAACTCTTAGTATTAAACCTAGGGAATTTCTAACATTTTTGTTTCTTGGTTTTGTCTCAACATCTAACCCTTTTTTGGAAGAGAGAAAATAAGTGTGAAAAGAAAATTTTAGGTGCAAAATAAGGGGGCATGAATGTGTATTTTGTTTGGAATTGAAGAGGGTGACAAAAAGGAAGGATTGAAAATATGAAAATATTTTCTATTATAAATTTTCCTTTCAAATTGGGAGAAAATGGTGAATAGGTACTACTAGGATCTAAGTATAATGAAAAATAAGGTTTATTTATCTTCCTCTCTTATATATCCAAAAAAATTCATTTTCTTTCCTCATATTTTTCATTTTTATTTTTTTTCACTCTAAAAATTTCCCCAAACAGGGGGTTAATTTAAAACAGAGGCCCACATCAATATGTATTGTGTCAAATGTCGTGTTTCAATTCATACTTTCATTTCATTTCTACGTTTTTGTTTTCTAAAACAAAAATATCTATGCAAAACGTGAAATTTGCCAGGTCAAACCTGGTCAAACGAGGGGACTTTATGTGATGTTTCTCGTTTTCAGTTGTGCAGTTTAAACTGAAAAGGCAACTTTATGTCCTGACAATCTGACGAGTGTTCTTGTTTCAGAGGAACGACTGTTAATTAAAGAATATAATAAATGGATTTGCCGGCGGGAGAAATGACGTTTCTGCCGAGTTTTCTACCGCAAATGACGCCGGGGAGCAGTGCTAGTGAGAGCATCTTTGCTCTTGGTGATGATATCTTTGCTGCTCAAGTAAACAAGTTTACTCCGTACCGTTTAAACGTTTTTTTACGTCCACAAGGATTTAATATAAAATCTTTATTTTAAGTGTCACGTTTTTATTATGATCCTTAAATTTGAAATGAAGACAACTTTTAATTTTTGGTTTGCATCCGGCCGAATGCACCCCGCCACTCCCTCCAACAGCATTTTCTTAAATTGCATCACTCGAATTTAATTAAGTTTGGTTCAACTTATTATATAAGGAAAGACGCAAATTTGATTCCTCACTGTGTCATTTAATTTTTAAATTGAAATTTAAAGAAAGAAATAGAAAACTGCAAGCCGGCAATCAACTCGGGTCATGTGGTTTGACACGTTAAATGGCAACTTTATCTCTTGTCCATCTGACACATGTTCTTGTTCCAGAAGGACAACTGTTAATTAAGGAATATAATAAATGGATTTGCAGGCCGGAGAAATGACGTCTCTGCCGAGTTTTCTACCGGAAATGACGTTGGTAAATAGTGTTAGTGAGAGCATCTTTGCTCTTGGTGATGATATTTTTGCTGCTCCGGTAAACAAGTTTACTTCTTACCGATTAAAAGTTTTTTTAAACCTCCACAACGAGTTTTTTTTTAAAACTCTTTATTTTAAGTGTCACGTTTTCGTTATGATCCTTAAATTTGAATTTTAAAAAATCACGATTTTTGCGTTTTTTAATTTTTTGTTCGCATCTGGTCCCAATGCGCCCGTTACTCCCTTCAATAGCCTTTTCTTAAATTGCATCACTCGAGTTTAATTAATTAAGTTTGGTTCAACTTATATAAGGAAAGACGCAAATTTGATTCCTCACTGCGTCATTTAATTTTTAAATTGACATTTAAAGAAAGAAATAGAAAAGCATGAACCGGCAATCAACCCGCTCTGAACTAGACCATAAAAATATCTGGTTCGCAATCCGACTGGTCAGACCGGCCAGTTCGAATTGGGTTTTAAAACATTGTGATTGATGAGAACTACAACAAATGGGTTGAAGTTTCCATTTTTACAGCCAAGCAGTGACATCTTTGGAGATTGGTTTCACTCACCAGAAATGCCTCTTCCATATGCGGCTGAACCGGCGATTCCACCGCCACCAACAACTGCCGCTAGTCCCGCCACTAATGACGTAATCAACGGCCGCTATAGTGACATCATCATCATTGACGATGTTGACGAAGAACATACACTTCAAAGGGGAGGAAAACGTCAGCGTCGCCATACCGCCGCGCAGATCAATGAAATGGAATCGTATGTACACCATCTGATCTTAATTAATTTGCACACTTAAAATTTCATTAACTTATTTCCTTTAAGTTTCTTATTTATTTGATAAAATAAAATAGCTTAGTCATGTCTTGTTTTGTTAATTTTTATCTAGTTTTTAAATATATAAATTCTATTATTAAATTTTAACTCAATTTTTACGTGAATTGAATTGAAGTGAATAATGTCAATCACGACAATACAAATGTGTGAAATCGTTAAGGAAAAAAGTTCTTGAAAAGGACTAAAATAAAAGTAAAATATTTTAAATAAATCAAAATAAAACTTTATGTTTTATCTCCAGACTATGACCTATAATGCATATATCAAAAGACATTGAGGAATACCATCCAATATATATTATGTCATATTATTACAGTGGAATAATCATATTTTGAGATTAAAAATGTCACTTTTATTTTGGAATTTCGGGCAATTATTTTTAAAGAATTCTTTCGCAACAATTAAGGGAGCTTCTCGGGGACTTACTAGGGTTGTGTTCCGTTTGTCTCATTTGATTTGATCAATCTGATATGATTCGATTAGATCTGGTCTAATCTGATTAAATATGATCTCTTCAGACATGGGTGGCCCGGAGGGTGTCCAAAGTGGCCAATCGCACATGGCTCCTTAAAATTTAGGGCACCATATTTTTAAATTTGTTAAAAATTTAAAGCAAAAGTATTCTAAAAATATAAAATAGGGCATAAAATGTAAATTTTGGACCGGGCCAATTTTATTTTTTCATTTTTCAGGGCCGGCCCTGTCTTCAGATCGAATTTAGTTATAGTTATATTCAAGACAATTTTTTGTCTTCACTTAATCTGAATGATTCTGATCTGGTTAGATTAAATTCTAATCTGATCTGATATGGTTTGATCTGATTTGAATGTAATCATATGTTAAGCTGTTTCTGATTCGATCTGAATCGATTCTAATTAGAATAAGCAATACAGAGAATATGCTCTTAATATTGTTTCTGATCTGATCTGATTCTAGTTATATTTAAAGTTGTTTATGATCTAATCTATAATGAGCTGATCTGCAAATTGGGTTCTTATTTCTTGATTTTATTTGTTTTTAGGGTTTTTAAGGTATGTCCCAACCCAGATGAAAGTGTAAGAAAGGAGTTGGGTCGTTCACTGGGTTTGGACGAAGCGCAAATCAAATTTTGGTTCCAGAACAAGCGCACCCAAACCAAGGTATATAAATTCATCCTCTAGTCTCCACCCTTAAGGCTACATGCAAGGCTCTACAACGGTTTACTCTAAATTAGTAGTCATTCAGTGCTGACTTGCAATCACTATCTTACTCAATTAACACTTGTAGTGCCTAATTTTCACTGCCAAATTTTCACTGCAATGATTATATTTTAATTTTTTATTTAATATTTACCTATTTCAATTCAAATTATATTCTATGCTTTAAAATAAAAATTTAAAACTATTCTTTTTATTTCTTTCTTTTTTCAAATTTTTTTCCACATTTTTATTTTATACGGAGTATTTCTTTAAATATTTCTATTTTCCATTTATATAGAATTTGTTCAATTATTTGTCTTATTCTATTCTTTTATCACGGTCAAGAAAAAAATAAAAAAATAAAAAACAATATAAACTATTCGATTGCACAACCAAAAAAAGGTCACTACTAATTTTTTAAGAGCGGCCTGGCTTACCATGGCTGTGCTCACGGAAATAATCTTGCCCTCCTCTCACACCAATCGAGCATTGGTGTTTATAGTCTCTCACTCCACCATGGTAAGTGCCATGTAGAATCACATACTATTGGAGGTAGTGGAGCATTACCCTTAGCTCAAAAACACTTTCGTGTTTGATTTTAACTATAATTAATTTCTCAATAATTGGCTATCCTATTTTATCTTAACTTTATTATAGCAGAATATTACTCCGGGGTACCCTTGATTTTCTGGCAATAACTCATATGTCCTACATTATTTGAAATGTACTCCGGGATAACCTCGATTTTCTAGTAAGAACCCTCAGATCCCACATTATTTGAAATATACTACGGGAGTCCTTAAAATTAGTAGTAGTACACTCCTTGGATACATTCCGTCTATTTGAACAGGACTAAAAGTTTTTTATACTTTGACAAATACGGAGTACTAAATTTTACCTTCATAATCAATATTTTATTAAATTTATACAAAATTCTTCAGTTTCTCAATGTAAAAGAACTCTCAATCCTAACGACTAAATGGACGCAATGTACTCTCGAAATATAATATCACAAATTTTAAGAACTCTGGATTATATTTCAGATAATGTGGAACCTCAAACCTCTTACTAGAAAATTGAGGGTATCCCAGAATATATTTCAGATAACGTGAGATGTCGAAGTCATTACCAAGAAATTGAGGGTAACCTGGAGTAATTTTCTTTTATTATAGCGTTAGAATATGATATCTCTCCGTTCCATGCATAACTATTTTATTATTTTTTAGTTGAGATGCTTTGAAATTTTCTTCCTCTTTTTTTTTTTAGAAAAAAAATATGGTCTATATTTCTCTTTTTCTTCTACACAACCCCAATTATGAGACGTAGAGTACTATATGGTAACTAATAAAAGAAATCACCCTAAATAGGAGGAAAACATAAAAAAAGTACCAAAATAAAAGTTCCATGTTTTTTTCATAAATAGGAATTTATACTGCGGTAATGTGACACTGTAGATGTGCATTTTACTATGTTTTTGATAATGTACATGGTCATTATTGGTAATGTAAGTGCATTTGAACTTGTATTTAAGGAACAAAAACATAGAACTCTTTTTTTGTACTCCCTCCGTCCCAAAAAGATTTACACGTTTCAAAAAAATTGCGTCCCACAATCCCTTATCCATTTCTATTAAAAAACCATTTTTACCCCTTACTTTTTCAAATCCTACCTATCACATCATACCTTTTTCCTAATAATCTACACATCACATCATACTTTTACCCATCACATCAAGGGTATTTTTGGAAAGTCAATACAAAATTATCCCTCCCTTAATTTCTACTTTAGTCAAAACGTACCCATCTTTATGGAAAGTATATTGTCAATGTTTTACTTCTATTTTAGTCTTTTTCCCTCAGAAAAATGAAGAATTGATAGAATGACCCTGAAATGCTCATAAACAAGTATATGCAATGAAATGATCCTAAGGGGTAATAAAAATGATTAAGGGCTCCTCTATTCCATAATCCATAACAATATTATTCACTTTATTTTTGGTTACAAAACTCTCCTTTTACGGTTTTACTCTCGATGCATAAACATGAAAAATATTTGGAGTTCACGAAAAGGTACCTCAAGTATTGTACACTACCAGCTCTCATATCACACACTTTTTAGTGTAAATAAAAAAAGAAAAGAAAATGAATAAAAATATATATGTGGTAACAAAACTAGTGGTATACATCATTTTTGGCGTACCCCTACCATTTTCCCATAAACATCACTCACGCTCACACACGAATTGAAACAAAGGATATTGTCCTTATATTTCTTTAATTTTCTTGTAAATTTCTCATAGGCCCAAAATGAACGTCAAGATAACACGGAACTGCGCCTTGAAAACCAAAAGCTCAGGATTCAACTATTGAAGTACAAAAAGGCCTTTGCTAATGTGAATTGTCACCAATGTGGCTGCCGAGTCCCCAACCCATTGCCCTCCCAAGAAGACGATTGGCTCAACTCTCATAATAGTTATCTCCCCTCTCTTCTTGGGCACCAAGAACTTGCACCAATAAGTATGTCAAACCAAGTCGAGCCACCGCCCCTAGCCAGGGAAACCGGACGTGGGATACTAACTGATGAGGTTCAAAAGAGACAACGCCTCGTGACAGAAATGGCAAGTTGTGCCATGGATGAACTACTTCAGATGGCACAGCTAAATGAGCCGTTGTGGGTCCCCTCTGCCGCAGGGGACACATTACATCTAGACAAAGATGCATATACGAGGTTTTTCTCAGGGGTATCTTCTACGGGGAACCCAGCAGGGCCTAAGGCTGTGGCTTCCCGTGAAAGCACCGCAGTGAAGATGGACATTCCCATGCTCGTACAAGCATTCATGAACGTGGTGATTAATTACTATATTAGCTATATTATGTTTATGCAGAATTTTTTTATTGCTTTTTTCTTTTTTCATTCAAATTAATATATTTTGATCATCAACTAAATATATAGATGTTACATTTATGAATCATGATGAATAATACTACCTCCGTCTCTGAGTATTTGTCAAGTTTTGACTTTTTTTAGTGAGTCGTTTTCAACCTTTGACCTATAATTAAATAAGATTCAGATTGTATTTTAATTAGATAAAATAATATTTTGAAAATGTTTATATATAACAAATCTAATAAAACTATTTTTATATCAATATATAATATCATTTTTATTTAATTTGAATTCAAAGTTTACAATTTTGACTGAAAAATCTTAAAATTGGACATACTCAGGGACGGATGGAGTATATCATACATTATGAATATTGATGACTAAAATGTAAATGTTTTATTTATGATGTGTAGGGCGATTGGGCAAACATGTTTTCTAGCATTGTCTCCAAGGCCATCAGCCACGAAATTCTGTCAATTGGAGTGGCTGGAACCTATGACGGAGCTTTACAAGTGGTACGTAATTTATCATTTCAGTAAATCCAAAATGTAAAATTATATGGACTCGATAAATATAATACACAAGTAAATAATGCTCCATCCCTTATCAATGCAAAATATTTTAGTGTTAATTAAACAATATGGATATCAATTTAATTGTTGTAATTGCACACTACATGCTCGACAAAATGCCTGTGAGAACTATTTTTATTTAGACCCTTTTCCGCCACCGCTAAACTGATAGATCTGCCACTCTACTTGTGCCCTCACTCGTCTTGGATCCTGGCTCTGCCATTGTAAGAACTATCAATTTTTACCAATAGAGCAATGTAGGTTCTCGGGTCAATTTAAAGTCAAAATTATCAAGGTCGAAAGATTTTTGCCCTGTGGTTATTGTGCAAGTATGGTGCAAGTATTGTGCACTACAAATATAAAATTAGAAAAAAAAATAGTTTTCTAATATTTGATTTTCCCAAACTGTTCTCACTTTGACAGATACCATGTATAGATCAGAAGAAGCTAGCTATTTGTGTTGAATATCCATTGTCTATCAGAAACAAAAAGTGGCCCTTTTACAAATAAATATGCGCATAATTTGCATAATTTTCTTCCTCATTATATTATGATATGTTACTATAACAATGCCATTATTTAATGTGCAGATACATGCAGATTTCCATTTACCATCACCACAAGTTGTGCCTCAAACTTATTACTTTTTGAGGTATTGCAAGAAGAACGCGGACGGAACATGGGCAATCGTCGATGCTTCTATAGATCATCGACATTTGCCTATGTCCCAAGTGGTGGGTAGAAACTGGAGGAGACCATCTGGGTGCCTCTTAGAAGAAGCTCCCAAAGGGTACACAAAGGTAATCAACAACACAAGAAACATGCTCTTTGTATATATAGTAACAAATTCCAATCATATAGTATTTTTCATTACTTTTAAGTACTTCCTTAGCTAGGTTAATTACTTTAGTTTTAAAATTTGGTTCATATTCTATTTCATGCATCTATAGGTGACATGGGTTGAACATGTGGAGGTAGTGGATGAGGGCATCCAGCTTGTCAATATTTATAAACCTCTCCTATCTTCTGGCCTTGCATTTTCCGCAAAGCGTTGGATCGAGACGTTAAATAGACAATGCGAGCGTTTTGCTTCCAAGATGTCCCTAAGCCTCCCCGCCACCCCAAACGATAATCTTGGTTCGTAATATATATAGATACATAATGCAACTTACATACAGTCTATATCTTTTTTTTCTCGTTTTAACTTGGCACGCTTTTTAATGTCTGCATGGAATGAATAATGACAGTGGTGATAACCCCAGAAGGGAAAAGGAACATATTTGCGCTTGCAGAGAGGATGGTAAAGAGCTATATGAATGGGGTGAGTGGGTATACAATACAGCCATGGAAGGTTATCCAAGGAGGGGGAGTTGGGGTTAATGATGTGAGAGTGATGGTGAGAAAATCCATAAGTGAAACAGGGGTGCCTTCTGGCATTATTTTATGCGCATCGACATCTTTCTGGCTTCCCTCGGGACCGAACAAGGTATTCCATTTCCTACGCGACGAACGCAACCGATCTCAGGTACGCAAAAGTATTTTTATTTGGGTAATTTATCTAAATAGGACTAAAACATAATGACTTTCTCAATATAGGACTATATGTTTTTATTTCCCAATGCAGGACCATTAGTCATTATCTATTAGTCATTATTCAATTAAATATCAAGCATCACTTGGACATTATTCTTCTCACTAGTCATTATTAAGTCCTACATTGGAAAATGACTTATGTTTTAGTCCTATTCAGTGCAAATTCCACTTTTTATTTTGGGTCAGGGAGTTTGTACGTTTTTTCGTACTAAGAATATTTTCTTTTCTTTTTTTGGTGGTAGTGGGATATTCTTTCTAATTCAGGTTGTGTGAAAGAATTAACACGCATTACATATGGAAGTGATATTGACAGTTGTGTTTCATTGCTAAGGGTATGACACATTACTGAAAACTAGAAGTGTATATATACTATATATCTTCATTTTTTTATAAAAGGATTTTTCTTTGGATTAAACAATATTTTTGTAAATAACATTATAGGGCGAGAATCACTCCCAAGGCAACGTGATGATGTTACAAGAAAGTTTCACGGGTTCGATGGGTTCCTTTGTCGTATATTCTTCGGTCGATATGTCACGAATGATTGTCGTTTCCCGAGGGGGAGACCCGAAATTGGTGTCCATTCTTCCATCTGGATTTGCTATACTTCCAGATGGGGAAATGGGAAATAAGTCTGGAACCCTTTTAACACTTGGGTTTCAGATTCTAGTTGATCATGTTCCTACTGCAGAGCTTTCATCAGATTCAGTTCAGCTTGTTAATGGGCTTATCACAAGGACTGTGGACAAGATCAATTCATTGCTTTCATAAAATGTTATACCATTGTTCTTGCAGGTGTACATTTCATTACCATTTTAATGCCAATCCTAATGTTTTTTTTTTAAATATTCTACTCTATTAGTTCACCAAAACACTTCCTCTTTCATTTTCTTGTCTTCCACCAAAACACTTCTACTTTTATCCAAAACACATCATATTCTTTCACCAATAATCTATGTATCACATCAAGAGAAAAATTGGAAAGTCAATTACAAATATACACTTCTTTTTTCTCCTATTAGTCAAAATAGAAACTGTTTGAATATTCCTTCCATATCACAATTAATGCTCTTTGCCCACAATTAAAAATATGATAAAAAATTAAAAGAATGTTGCCTTGGATCTAAGAAAATACAACTTTAGTGATGCATTTGCTTTAGGGTGGTGATAGCCACACCCCAACAAAATACTAAATTCACCCTACATATTAATTTCACCCTGCTACTTTATAAACTCTTTTTAATCTTGTGCCTCACACATATTGTTATACATTCGAAATTTTTTACTTTGTAACATATTGATAAAATTATATTCTGAATTAAAATTTTTAGTTTTTTATTTAATTTTCTAATAGGTGTTAGTACTTATTATCTAAATCTTTTTAATAATAAGTTGTGATATTTTTTAAAATAAGAATTGTAGTTTTTGTAACACCCTCCGACTCGCAAACCCGGTTCGGCGTAGCCCATCGGGCAGGGGAGATTACAGAAATGGTATTAAGGATCATCTACAGTGAAATCCTTGAGGAAAAACATTTTAAGAAAAGTTGAAACCCTTATTCTAGAAAAGTATGGGATTTACATCCATAACGCATACGGAGTAAATAAACGTTAAGTCGCAGAAGCAAGAGAAAAATTGTAAGTTCAGTCCATGAATTTAAAGTGCAACAAATGTGGGTTCAAGCCCAAAATGTTTGGAATGATATTAAGGTAAAAACGTAGAAATCCACGGTTGACTGTCCGTACATCTCCTCACTCTCGTTGCCCTCTAGGATAGGTTCCATGTTCATCGCGCATACCTGCGTATAGTAGGGGTGGACACGGTACGGTTCCGGTTCCGGAACCGCCGGTTCCGGTTCCGGAACCGCCGGTTCCGGTTCCGGTTCCGGAACCGCCGGTTCCGGTACCGCCACCCCATGTCACCGGAACCGTCACCGTGCCGGCCGGTACCGGTTCCGGTTCCCGGACCGGCGGTTCCGGTACCGGACCGGCCGGTTTCGCCCCCCCCCCCCCTATTTTTTTTTGTTTTTTTTTTAAAATTTTTAAAGTATAAAATTGTAAATTTGCAATTGTTTAAGGAAAGAATGAAATAAAAAATCTAAAAATGTAGTTGTTATTTAAATATTTTAAATGAATAATACACTAACTGAAGAACAACCACATTTAATATCCTGACGGTTCAAAAAAAGCGACGAGGTAAAGAACCGTAAAGAAATCCTCGAAGGAGCTTATATATCGCTCACCTAAAAAAAACTAATTACATATTTACATTAACATAAAAAAAATTATAACTTATTCTTCAGAACTCGGACTTCCATCTGTTGTTGCATTCATGTAATGCTCCGATTCGAGTTGGTACGTTGACTCTTGAGCTCGACGTCTTGCCAATAGCCAATCTTGGTTGCAAACCAGTGTTTCAAGAGATTCAACGCTAAGACAACTTCGAAAGTCGGTTAGAATGTTGCCGCCAGCACTGAATTCTCGTGTTAGTGTAGAGCCCCCNTTTTGCAGGCCTGCTCAGTCTTGAAGCCGTTGGACAGCAGGGAAGCCAGGGAAAACCGGAAAAGAAAAAAAAATTACACGGTACGGTACCGGAACCGGTACCGGTAGCGCCAGTTCTGGGACGGAAATATTGGCACCGGTACCGAGTGGGGCGGTGCCGGTGCCGGTTCCTGTTACCGGGTGACGAAACGGACGACGAGGACGGTTGCAAGTACCGCCGGTACCAGCGCCGGTAACGGTTCCGAACCGGTACCGTGTCCAGCCCTAGCGTATAGCAAAAACAATACTATACGCTCAGCATAAGCTGAGTGGTGAACTAGCTGTAGGAAAACATAGTGATAAACTATATAGATACACCCACATTGTAACACCCCAACCTGCATAACCCGAATACTCGGATTAGCAAATCGGGTTGCTACTAAATTGGTATCCAAACACTACTTGACTTTTCAAAACAAATCAAATAAGCATTTCAAAACATAGTTTAACATCAATTGGAGTAACATTCAAAATAGTTGCGGAAGCTTAATTTCATAATTCAAAACACAACTTGGGAATCATGCCTGAAATAATAATAAGTTATTTAAATGATAAGTAGGAATTCAAAATCGTCGAATACTGCCACGCAGATCTCAGCATCCTCATCGCCATCCGGGATTGGTTCCAAGTTCCTCATTCCCTGGATTACCTACGTGTAGCAAAGGAACAAACAATACACGCTCAACATTGAAGCTAAGTGAGAAATATCTAACACACAGCTATACCCATAAATGATCCCACTAGCCCATATCATCATACGATATCATGCATGCAACATGTTTAGCACAATCATAATAGTATACAAGATATATCATGCATATCAACAACATAAGAAATGTAGTATAATACAGAGTATGTGATTATAAATACAACTTTGTGTTTTTATTTTTTCTTTTTACTTTAATATACGAAGTATAATCTTTAAAATTTAATACTCCCTCCGTTCTCAAAAACACTTCATCTTCCATTTTTTACACTTCCAACAAAATACTTCCTCTTTCTATTAAAAAACCACTTTTACCCTTACTTTTTCATACCTTACCTATCACATCATACTTTTTCTCTAATAATCTATCCATCACATCTTACATTTACCCATCACATCAGGGGCAAAATTGGAAATCAACTATAATTTAACACTTCCTTATTTTTGCCCCCTAAATCAAAATGGGAAGTCTTTTTGCAAACGGAGAGAGTATGTAATTTTTGATTGATTTTCATTACTTTTTATAATTACAATCATTGACCTTTACCCAAAAATCTCTATTACTATAAAAAACTAAAAAAGTTTAAAAAAAATTGAAGTAAAATGTTTCAATTTAGAGTATTAAATCATCTGACATTTAACTTATTCTTGCAAAAAATGAAAGAACTTAAAGTGAAACTTTATAATATTATTGAAATCCCACAAGCTAACAGAAGTAAAAAAAACTTGTTTAAACTTATCATATTGTTGATTAAAATATTTTGCATTAATATAATTTCTTGAAACATACCCACTCGATATAAAAACTAAGACTAGAGTTAAAATCAATTGAAATGAAGCCACGTTGTTGGAAAACAAGTATAAAAAATTGACAAAAAAGTTTTTTAAAAAAATCCGGGTTTTCCGGTTTTTACCCGGACCAAACAGGAAAAAACAGGTCCGGACCGAAATCTTACAGGTCTAGTTTCTGGTCATATACTTTAGGTGATTCCTGTTTTTCAGTTCCGGTCGGGTTCTGGACCGATGTACACCCCTAGTTAAAAAATAAGCTTTTCCCCTCACTAAATGTTTTCTCCACTACATACACACACATACATATATAGATCTACAAAACTAGATGTGACATGACTTTAGTATTTAATCAAATAACAAATAAAAATATACCAACAAAGTAATTAAACGGTACGCACGGCTTCGTTTCCATTACGGCATGTGTATATCCGAAGCAAAGTAGAGATGATGAGAAAGACCTACAGACGCGGCAGATATATAGATGATAGATGATCGACTCTCAAAAGTCAAGTTTTCTGTCATGTTTGATATTCTTTCATTAAAATATACTCCGTATTTAAGTGTACCCTATAGTCTTTCCACCAGACGATTCAAATATTGATAAAAATTTTTTTGAGTAAATTCCATAAAAAGTCCCCATTTATAGGTCGTTTTACATATTTAGTCCCTACATATCAAACATTATTAATTTAGTCCCCAATTATTATATAATTTTTCACGAATGATCCTTTGTTAACGTTTTTGTTAAGTATGGTACATCGGCAATCGAGCGTGTGTTAATTAATAACTACTCCCTCCGTTTAAAAATTTCTATATTGACTTTGGGACAAAATAAAGAAGCATTACTTGGAATTGACTTTCCAATTTTATCCTTGAGATGATGGGTAAAAGAAAAAGGTGATATTTAGATTATTAGTGAACAAATATAATGTGATAGGAAAGATATATGTTAGTAAGGGTTAAAGTGGTTTTCTAATAGAAAATTTAAATGTTTTGGTGAAACAGAAAAAAATAAAAGAGGAAACATTTTCGTAAACGGATGGAGAAATAAGAAATTAAATCACTCTTAACAAGAGCAAAAAACATACCCTCCGTTCAATTTTAATCTTTCTGTTTAATTATTCAGTCTTAAATACTTCCTTCGTTCTAAAAAGTTGTTCTCATTTTGATCGACCTTTAAAAAATTTAAAGAAAGGTTATTTTTGTGTTGACTTTTCAAAAATACTTTTGATGTGATGTGTAAAAATAAGATATGACGCATAGATTATTAGTAAAAAGGTATGATGTGCTAGGTAAAATACTCCCTCCGTCCCTAAATGTTTACCACATTTCTAAAAATGAGGCAAAATATCAAGTTTTTTCAATTCATTTTATTTAAAAATTGGTATAGAAATAAAAAATAAAATTTACATATTTAAGAAGTATATGAAAAGTTCTTCAAAATAAGAGGTGTCAAGAATATTTGATTTTATTAAATAACCAATAAAAATGTACAAATAAACAAAAGTTCATATAACTGTTGAAAAAGCAAATGTTGCAAACATTTTGAGACGGGTGAAGTAAGAACTAGTGTGGACTTTAAGACCAAATAGATTTTCCGAGTAAATATATATTTGAAAAAGACTAAAATAACTGTAAAATATAGAAAAAAAACAAAAAATAGAATCTTTATATAATCCTTATGTTTTTTTTCCAAAATAAAAAAATGCCAATATATAATATCCAAAATTAGTACGGAATGACAATATAGAGTGTAACATTATTACAGCACAATAGTTTTATTCTAAAATAAAAACATGTCATTTTTATTTTACAAAAAGAGTTATGTTTTGTTCACATTTTAGTTAATTATACTTCTTTATATATTTTTTCAATTGGAGCTAGTACATTTTTGGGATTGAACAAGTCAAAATATATTTTTTTAAGATT